CCATGTTAAGAGCTCAGCTATAGAGTCTCACGAGATCAAACATAGAAGCTATCAAAGAGAAGAGAGAAGGAGAAGAGAGGTTCCATTAGAAGAACAGTGAAAAATGAAATCTGTACAGTACATAACTAACTATCTAACACCTATTTATACAACTAATAACCTACTTATCTTAACTTAATTTCAGCTGCTAATCACAGCTCATTGACAACTGTACGCCCATACACCTAACTAACTAGAGTTCTGCACAACTATTGATGTGAATGCTAAAGTTACTACTATGCAATACAAATTATTCACGGATATTTTAAATTACCATTGCACCCACTTCTTTTCTTGTGAATAGTGATAATAGGGTTGGAATTGGTTTAAACTTTTATTTATTTTCAACCATATACATACCGTAGAATTTAGTAGGTCTATATATTGTGTATAATATGTGGCTGCTCATTATGTATGAACATGTATATTCAAATATATTTTGTTAATTTCTGGTTAGTATAGAGTAAGATCGACAGAGTGCACAATGCGTAGGCATTTGATTAAAGCAAAGTTGAATTCGATAATATGAAGTCTCCTAGTAACTTCAGCTTCTATCACTAGTACTTGCAAAGTCTCCATACCTTTGGTGCAACGAATTCATTAAAGTTGGGGTGTTGTAAATACATTTGGAATTTAGACAAGCTACCTAATTTAGATTCTTCAATTTACTATACTTTGTTTGCTAACCGTTGTATTATTTTATTCTTTCTCTTATTTTTTTCAATGAAGAAAATCGATAAATGCCAACTATTTTGAAAATTGTGGATCAAGAAGAATAATAATAAATGACTTAATTAAAATAATTTGGGAGATTCTAGGTCACCTGATGGATTAAAGGGTCATTTTAAAAGTTTACTGATGGTAGGGGTAAATTTGGCCGGATAGTATAATGGTAGGGATAAATTTGGCCGAATAATATAACGAATGTGTGTAGACAATATTCAAAAATAGAGGGACAAATTTGGACCTTTTCCCTTTCAACAATTAACAAGTAAACAACTTGACTATGTAAGTTGTTATTTGTAAGGTTTGTGGTCTACAACAACAACAACAACAACAGTAATACACCCAATATATTTTCACATATGGGGTCTAGAGAAAATATTATATACGCAAACAGGGGCGGATTTGTAGGCAAATAACATGGGGCACGTGAACCCATGATCTTTCCATCAAACTCGATATTTTATGTACATAATTTTTAGAATTAGTCTAATATTATCTGCTAGCATCCATGCTCCACAGAGGCTAAATGGCACACTTCGTTGAATCTTGAATTATTTACCCAGAGGACAAGGAATCAAATCCCACCTAATACTTTCTTCTTTCTCCTTTTTTTAGTGTGCACCCATATTATAAGAATCCTAAATCTCAATCTAAACCTTGTGCTGGTAGAAATACTCTATCCAATCAGGCGAACCTATTTGTGGTCATAATAAGCTAATGGCTTTTTATTGTGATCCCCCTGATCTCGTAATTAGTGTTCAAACGACAAATGTTCAGAGTTTAGTTAGGAGAGATTACAAATCCATCACTGGATCCAAATATATATTTGCTGCATGACTCTTGCAATTTTGCGTACAAATAGATGCAGATCTACAATTTTAAATTTATGGGTTCTAAATTTAAAAAAGATAATCTACATGGGTTCTGAATAATATACATTATTAATTGAATTTTTTAAACATAAATATAATAGTTTGAACCAAAATTATTAATTCTACCGAACCAGCAAGTAAAACTATAGCTCCGCCCCGGGACCGGTTTTATTAACGTACTAAGTAGTACCTTGTTCTAAAATAGTCATTATTGTGTGCTGGGATAGAGGGAGGGTGTATCTACGAGTTCGGACGAACTCAGTAACTTTTTGCTTAGATCCTATATTTGTACTAGAAAATCTATTAGATATATATAAATACTTAATTGCGAACCCAATAACTAACAAGCTATGAGTTCGGTTGTAAATTCAGAACCAATACACTTTAAATTCTGCCTTCGCCTCTAACGGTGTGTGCTTTGAGTGTCAAATGAATTAATCTTTAATTACCAGTTGGTAATAAGTGCCTAACTAATTTTTTAAAATTAAATTTTAAGGTAACAGTCACAGGATTGTCTATTTGTTAAACGGGTAAGACATGGGAAAAAAATGATATACTGGCTTATGCACCATACAAACTTATTAGATTCTTTTAATGTGCAATGCTATTTGCAAGAGAGAAAACTTAAATCCGAAAGGAGTATATTACTTAATTATTTGAAATTATCTAGTAAAGCCATATTTATTTTATTTGTAACATAAAAATCAATTAACTATTTTTATATCACTCAAACGGTCACTCAATTATATTTCTCAAATTTCCGACAGCCAATACCTATTTCATCCTCTATATTATCAACCTTTATCCTTTTCTAATAAGTTTCAAATATTATAATTTTTTTATTCTATATTATGGACTTACCAATAAAATAAATAAATCTTATTTATAAAGTAAATATAATAATTTTCAGGCATGTATAATATTGGAACAAAATAATTGAGCAAAATTTTCAAGCATATATAATGTATATTATAAATATACCTCCATTTTAAATATTTATCTTCGTATTACATGAATGAAACTATATTCTTTAAATTTTTTTGTTCTCTTTCATTCTCAATTGTGAAAATAAAATTTTGAGTTTTTTTGTTGTTTATAAGAAATTATTTCGTACAAAAAATTATTCTAACTAAATGTTATGCTATGTTCAACTTTTCTTCAATTTCAGTTGCTTAAACTATTATTCATATAACTCAAATACAATTTTTAATATAATTTTATGTGATTAAAAGTATTACTTATCTAGATAAGGTACACGCCGGGAAGTCCCACATTGGGGATAAAGCACTCCCTAACAAAGGCGATTCCATACCCGGGCTCGAACTCGAATTCTCTGGTTAAGGATGATGAGTATTTACCACTTCAAACACAACCCTTGTTGGTAAAGGGATTGATTAGTAATACTAGCATCTGACAGATTAGGCCAAGTTCGACATAAAATTAGCTTGTCGATGAAAATTTATCCAGTCCTAAAGTTCAAACGACATCGAATTAATCCCAAAAATATTTTCCTACAGTTTGCAATCCGAGACTTGCAAGCTACATTTATGTTCTTTTTTAAATATTGTTGAGTAGTCGCAACTGAAAAATATTTAAAAAAACATAAATATAGTTACAGTCTTAAACTACAAACTGTAGAGAGATTTATCTTTCACTACTAGAAATCCGGAAAAAAAGCGACCACAAAAAGCAACTACTGGCTTGGTCGCTATTTTGCTGGTCCCTTTACCTTAGAGACCAAAGGGTGGTCGCTAATTCAACTTTTGGTCTAATAAAGGTAAAAGGACCAAATATTCCGGTAAACAATATACCGACCAAACTTTGGTCGCTTTAATATTTTAATAATATAAATTTAGCGACCAAAGTTGGTCTCTATAATTTAAATTACGTTTTTTTTTTTATTAATTATTCAAAATATAGCGAACCAACTTTGGTCTGTAAACCAAATATTATATTTTAAAATCTGGAAAATAGCGACAAAGTTGGTCGCTTTTTTTTAATTTTTTTAAACATAAGCGACCAAAATTGTCGCTAACTTCAAGAATTATATATTTTTTTAAACATAAGCGACCAAAATTTGGTCGCTAATTTCCAGAACTTTTTTTTTTAATAGAATAGTGACCAAAGTTGGTCGCTTTTTTAGGAAATATGGGTTAATTAGCGACCAACCTTGGTCGCTATTTCCCAGAAAAATATTTTTTTTAAAATAGAAAAGCGACGTATAATTTTGGTAGAAACTGCCTGTTTTGGCAACTACACCACCTGCCAGCATACCAACTTCCTAAATAAAATATAATTCAATTCATAAACTACAATTTCAATACCAAAAATATCCACAAACAACCCAAACAACAACACCATAACAACAACAACAACAACAAACAATTCAAAAAAACACTGAAATACCAACAAATTAAAGTTCAATAGAACTAACAAATTAAACTAACAATACTAAGTTAACGCTATTACACTAGTTCAAAAGTCGGTTCATTTGTCAGTTCAAAAAGTATATAAAAGTCAAGGAGTATTTTTGTCAACATCAATTATGCATCACCTCTGAGAACTTTCATCATCAAGACGTGTATGCAGGAAAGGGTCTACTTGTCAGAGGAGAGGGAAAGAAAGATCACAGTGGAGGATGGTGGAGGAACGAGCACGGGGAGGACAGAAGGAACGCTCGACGTTCAATGTCGAGCCTCTGGCGATGATCACAAGACCGGGGAGTCGGTAAAACATGCCAGAAGCTAGGAAGAGATTTGAGCTGCTCTGCATGCTCTGGTACTAGCACTTGCATATGTACTGAAGCATCTCTAAGCTTTTCTCTTTCCTTTGGCCGCTTCTAGCTCGGATGTGAGCTTTGTCACAGTCTCCCGCATAGCGGAGAGGTTCTCCCCACCAAAAGTTGGTTCCCGCTAATTTCAGTATTTCTTTGACCAAGCAAGTCTGACCAGTCCGGTCAACATTTTGACCACATTATCGACCAAAAAGCGACCAAGGTGTATTTAGAATAATTATTTAATTATTTTCTCCAATTTAGCGACCAACTTTGGTCGCTTTTCTTGACAGACCAATTTTGGTCGCCAAATTTTGGTCGTTTTTTTCCGGATTTCTAGTAGTGTTTTGGGATTAATGCAGCATCATTGTGAATGCTATATAAATAGTTAAGTGGCTTTTCCATTACAAACAAAAGAAATATGACTTTACTAAGTAATTTTAAATAGTTGAATGACCATTTGAGTAATCGACTCGAGTTAGAAGCTACAAGGAACATATATTCTTCTCCTGTGTTTTTTCCTGAGCATACCATATCATAACAATTTACATTCTTTTTTTGAAAATACTCTAATATATCAAATATGGATATCTTTCTCACTATAATCCTATATTGAAATTACTTTAATCACATATAGATATCTTTCTCACTATAATCATTTGTATGCTGTATATATGCATTTACATTTTGCTAAATCAATATCTATAGTCACATGTATTCCTTTTTTGTACAAATAACTACAGAAATGGAAAAAAGGAAAAAAGAAAAGAGAAAAGAGAAAAATGTTTTGCTTGTTACCCAAATTATCTGGCTTCAAAAGAGCTCCTTGTGAAAAACAAATCTTGTGGATGTTTTATAAGTCAATACTTTTGATAGCTTCTTCAACTCCTTTGCTAAGACAGGCGTCCCACAGTAGAAGACTCCTGCATCATTTATCTTGTTAGGAAGATCTACCTTGTTCGGACTCTCTGAAAATGTCACCGGGTGGGTGTCGGATCCTCCAAAAATAGTGTATTTTTGGAGGATACACCACGGGTGCAGCAGCATTTTGGATAGTCCGCACAACATAGTTTTTAAGTACTGCTTGTTCGTTTTTCTTTCCTTTTTCTTTTTGAGTTTAAGTTCTATGCAGTATGCATTCACAGTATAATAAATATTTCTACAACCACTTCACTATAAAATAACTGAAGGTAAATTACTCTGACATGCATTAAGTGATAACTTGATAAAAATAGTAAATAACATGCTATAATAAGTTAAAGAAAGCTAACATTATAGAACATCTTTAATAGTGTCAGTAGATATTGCTTACATCATAAGATTTTGCTGCGAGCTTGCAATGCCTTTGATTATTTTATCTTCATAGTTTCTTTATTAGCTCTATTTTTTGGTCATATTCATTGTCAGAAGATTGGATTATATTGCTGAAATGATGATCCCAGGCTATAAAGTAACAAGCAGATTCAGATATGAAACTTTTCAGAAATAAACAAACTTAAGGGGTCGTTTGGTTTGAAGACAAGTTATACTGGGATTAGTAATGTTGAGATTAGTTATCCTGGTATTATTTCTTACTGACTGTTTGGATTAATCCTAGGATTGTCAATTCTACTGCTTTATCCTGGGATAACTTATCCTGAGATTACTGTTCTACCCTCTGACAGATATAAGTTATCCCAATACTATTCTTAATCCTATGATAACTTATCTTGGGATTAGTAACCAAAAAAAGGGATAAGGCGGTACTAAATATTTATCTCGGGATTGTTTTTGCTTATCCATCATACCAAACGACCCCTTAGTTTGAGGTTGTAACAATTTCTTACCTACTGTTGAAAAAGGATGCTTGGAAGCTATTATGTTGAATACTTCTTTCCACTTGGGCCTTGCAAAATGTGTCTTCACCTGCATAGTCTAAAGTCAGTACTTGGTGGAAAATGTAACAGTGCAATTGCACTCTACTCTTGCTGTTGTGTGATTGAACTATATTCCTATACAAAAATTCCAGCCTCGCCGAATAGTTCTTTACATTTCCCTTTAAGAAGCTTCGAATGAGGGTAGTAGTGATGGAATATGAATCGTACCCGAGTGCCAGAAAGGATATCAACACCATGTTTGGCATGGTTAAGTGCCTGCAGCATGGTGATTAGAGTGGACCTCGCGTCATCCTTATCGTAAACGCTTGTCAGATAATTGTGCATCTCTATCTGACCCTGTTTCATTGCAGCCAATTGGTAATAAAATTGTCAAACTACAATACTAATAGACCATTAATCGGAAGAGAAAATGAACATCCATTGCTGATTATGATGTACTACCTTGTGATCTATCTCTGCAACTTCATTCATGACTCCTTTAAACCACTCGAATGATCCAGGTTCTCTAGTAACCCAATAAAAATATGCATTCTTTGTCCTTTGTAATTTCTTTCTTCCACTTGATGCCACACTTGAAGTTGCAACACTTCTCCAGCTATCATATGATGAAGTGATCTCAGTACTAGAATCCTGAAGTTAATGTTTTGACTAAGATTAATACCACATGTTTACTTATTTAAGAAGAATAAACAAAGAAAATTAAAGGATGAGTACCACATTGTCTTCTGTTCTTGAATTGTTCAATAGATCCTTCAAGATACTTATAAAAGGTGTAGCTCCAATTCCAAGTCCTACAAGAAGTAAGACATCGTAATTTTGATAGTCTTGTGCTGGCGCACCATATGGTCCATCAACAAGCAATCGAGGTAAACTGCATCACAGATAAGTCCTTTAGACATATTGACAAGGGAATCACGATTAAACTTTAGGTGTCCAATAACATTGACAAAGTACCTTCTTTGATCAACATCGTCAAATTCTTTGAACTTAGCTCGACCAATTATACACGCTGAACTGTCATCCTCAGTGAATACATTCTTAAGTTCTGATGTCCAGTCACCTACAGTGCGTATGTGAATGCTGAGGTAGTCATCTCCTGGTGCTGATGTTATAGAAAATGGATGCCTGAAAAAACATTAAGATTTGCATTTTATTCTTGTTTGTGGATATATAATCAGCTTAAACGGGGAACCAATGCGCATACCATTCGAATGAAGAGATTGTTGGGCACTGCAGGAATATGTACTGTCCACTCTTGTATTTGAAACCATTTGGTTTTGACATGATCAAACTGAGAACATCTCCTGGAAGTACAGAAACCTGTATAGGTAGAAAAACCAATTCTTCATTTGTTTCCTTCTATCCTTTTTATTTCTTAAATTCTCTATTAGATGGAAAGCTAATGGGCTGATATTTCAATTTACCTTAAAAATCTTAACGCCATAGTATTCTGATCTGCATTTTCTGAAACTCCTCTCTGCGGCATATAGGAGCAATGGAATGGAGATGTACATCCATGTCTGCAACAATCATGTGCGACAAATATTGAACATTTAATCATAGATAAATGATAAGTAATTTGGTGCTTCATATATAAATATATGTATGTATGTATGTATGTATTGAATATATTCATAATTGTCCTTACAGTTTTGTGATACCATTGGTGGTCCAAGAACAGGAATATTCCATGTATTAGTAGCAATACATAAACCATTGCGAGAAGGTGATGAGAATACCAAAATGCGTTAAAGCCTGTTAATCGGTTGAGAGGAGGTGGCAGTTTCACCAAATTTCTCCTGAATCGTCGTGATGCTAATGTGAAAGCAATTGTCATCAAAATTACCATACCAATACCTGTGATGCCTTCAACACCAGTCAAAAGGCTTTTATAACTAGGCTTCACATTGTCAAAATGAGACGATACAAGTGCAAATTTTTCTGTAGATGAGTTAACCAGACGGGGAAAATCACACGCTAAATGGTTCCCCGCATGAAGTACTACTCCAACTGCTATGGCAAATGCAATAATCTGCCAATTGAAATGACATAGTTCAGAAGAAAATTATGTTCATTATAAACTTCAAGAGTACTAATATTGGTGAATTTTGTTCTGCTCACCTGGTGAAAATTGATGTTATCGTCGAAAGGGATAAGTAACCTGGCTCCTGTAGACCTTAGCTTAGTTAATGTGTTACGACAAACCGGTAAAAGGATGAGTGCCATATTTAACTTGAGAGTCTCTGCAGCACCTTTAGCTATTGGCAAGCAATATCCCACAACATGGAATGCTGCCCTTTGCCTATACTGTAAGAATTTCCATGTGAAAAGTCCAGCCATTGTTATCATCCAAAGCAATAGAATCCAACCTCTTTGCCAGTTCTTCAGTACAAGACATTCGAGGGTGCAGCGGGCTCTCTTTATTATGTCTTTCGGCTTAAGGGATCCTGAGTTTTGACTACATCCAACACTTGGTGTGCTTAAAGATCTGCTGTAGTTCATGTAATTGTCCCTTTGTAGAAGAAGTGCTTCCAATTGCCATAACTGAAAGAAAAGGACTATGAGTTACTTTTTTCCCAAATTCGTCAAAGTAGAATAATGTCACTGTGTTACTGAATATTCTAAAACGACGCAAATGATACAATCGCTCAAATCTCCCCAGAATGAAAGTGATGATCTTGTAGTTTTTGGTACCTGAAGACACGTTTTAGATGCTCTAGCGCTTCTATTATGCTTAATTTCATTTTTTATGCCTATGATTAATCTCTTTTAGTTTGATGGAGACATCTATGATTTGACTAATAATTCATGTTCCTATTAATTCCTTGTGTTATGATATTTTATTAAGCTTAGCAGAACCAGAGAAGCAGCTGGTTTTTACTTCCATTAATCTTTTTTCAAGTCTTCTTCAAATCTCAGTTTAAGCAAAGTGCTAACATATTAAGAAATTGATATCGGGTCTAACTTAATCCCAAAAACTAGTTCAAGAGATGAAGATTGCCCAATACTATATAAGGAGCATAATATATTTAATCCCAAAACATACAAAGACTTCTCAAATAGTTCCAATCAATGAACTAAATTCCAAAATCAGAATACTTTTTGTATTCTGACTGATATAATGTTGTTGGTCTTCCAACAGTGTGGGCCTACGGTCCGAATAATTTGGACATAAGTTTTTGTTGGGGCAGCAAATATAGACCGGTCAACAAATTCGTTGACTCGTTTTGAAAAATGTTAAGGTGAGGAAGTAAGAAGTGATTATAATTGATCAGAAGATCAAGAATTTGGTACCTCAATGTAACCAAGATTTTCAGGGTCTAATTCCTCCATTATCAAAGAAGCATAATCTTCTGCACGTTCCTTCAATCTGGATAGCTTATTTGCCGAAGCACTCAGCATTATTAGCTGTTGGAAGAGCCAAACAGAAAAAGATACTATTAGAAATTTCTAACTATATCATTTAAAAAAGGCAGCCCGGTGCACTAAGCTCTTACTATGCGGGCTGTTTCCACAGCTCGAACCCATAACCTCTTGGTCACATGGCAGCAACTTTACCAGTTACGCCAAGGCTCCCCTTCTCTAACTATATCATTGCAGTATTAAATAAGATTTTGATTCACTGAGCAAAATTTATGGCTCTCCATTACCATGTTCTTCTGCTATTTGACAAATACTACGAATAGTATAAAGTATATTATGAACTTTAACCTCTTTCAGTTTTTTATTTAGAAGTTACGTTTAATCAGGGGATCTAGAGCATAGAATACGGGTTCCTTGCAACCCAGTAACTCTTGCATAGACCATGTATTTATATAAAGAAAATCACTAAATATTTGTAAATATCTAATTGTGAACCCAGTTATTGTTGCATATTAATCTGAAATTACGGTAGGAACCCATAAGGCTCAAATCCTGGATCCGCCTCTGCGTTTAATAACCTTACCTCTTGAACTTCATATCTAGTAATCCTTCCGTCTCCATTGCTATCCGCCCTATAATGAGTATTACATGTAACATGTGAGCACTTGAAAAATAATAATTGGACAGCAATCAATAATTAAAGATTATATCGCGGCTAGGATTTTAATTTACGTAAAATAGCGGATCATTTCATAAAAAATTGTTTAATAGCGTTTTAGAAAAGGGAAATGCATGTTTTCAACAAGGTGTAAATTCTTATGGTAAGCATTAGTAAGTAACTAAAATGTTTTAATAGATATATAAAACTATTCTACTCTGTGTGTTTAACTTAAATTCGAAAAAGACACTCGAAAAGAAAAACAAAGTAGATACTAGTAAAAGAGAAAACATTAACGAGTGCACACACATGTCAAAGAAAATCTGAAGGCGAGCGTCGAAACTTTGATCAGAAATCTGCAACCAAAAATTATGAAGCTCAGCTTTTGTTATCTTTGCCGTCTTTTGACGCCGCCGTCGCGCCAGTGCATCAAAAACTCCCACCGCAAACTCTTTCGAATCCTCCATTCCTGCATCAAAAACTACCACCTTAATGAATTTTTACACAATAGTGTAATTAATTTAACATATTATAGCAAATTAATAATTATTTTTTATTGCGACAAAAATAATCATTTTTATCGTGTTATCAATTAGGAGTAATATAAAATTTACCAGTAATTATTTTGTGAAATGCTATCATAGAACTTATACTTACATTCGTGAAAACTCATACCATTGAGCAAGGCAAATGCATGTATCATACTGAAGATTTTAAAAAAATTTGCAAAACAAAAAGAAGGCTAAAAAGAAAAAGATAGTTATTTTGATTCTGTAATCAGAGTCGGAACCAAAATTTAAAATTTATGGGGTGCTGAAGTTAGTACTGAACCCATAGCTCAATTTAGTTACTATGTACCTATGCATTCACCAAAATCTTCTCTAGCAAGCCATCCCTCCTTAGCCAGAGCATTGAACCGAGCTTCAACTTTTTCCCATAGCACATTATCTTCAAATTCTCCACTACTTTTCTTGCTTATAAATCTCAATCCTCCAAGCGCGTGTGGAGCACTCGATTTATTCCTCGCTAGCTTCAATTTCGATTTCATCTCTTCACGTATCGATAAAATTGTCTGCTCATTATTATCATTAATCCGAGTACAAAAAACATGATCATCATCCACGTCGGAAGTCAGCGATCCCGTTGAAAATCGCCGGCGAATTTTGGAACCGGCACTGGATGTTTTAGAAACTTCTTCGTCGGCGACTGCAGCTTTGGTATTATTGTGCGATGAATTAGCCGGCATTACATTACACAGAACAATGGAATTATCATCCAGCTCTACCGTGATTTCAACTAATTCCTCGTCGTCGTCGTTGTTGATGTTGTTATTGTTGTTTCTGTGCAAATCGTTGAGGAAAATCGGTAACATAGCGGCGCCTTTAAAATTGCGAGAGTTTGACGTCGCCGGCGTTGAGTCCTCCGGCAAGTCAAAGTTCCGGCTGTAACTGGATCGCTTTGAGCTGCTTCCGAAAGAGGAAGAACTCAAAATTGACTTGAGCTGCTGCATTTTAGGAAACTACAGGTAACCTAACTGTAATCTGTAGTGAAGACTGTAAGTGCTAATTATATATGCCTGTTTCCTTAAACTGTAAATTTGTGCTTATCGGCCTCTCAATTCTGTGGAGAGAACTCTTAATTTGAAGGAATGTCTCCAACCCTTTTTAGCTGTAGAAGAAACCCCTAGTATGATTGAGGTATGCATGGTGTGTTTATAATAATGCGAGACATGAATACTGTAATATAAAATACTTCATTTATTTCAATTTATATGACGTAAAATAAAAGAAATAAATAAATAATTTTAAAACTTGTGATCTTAAATCTGTCATTACGTGCAGAGGCGGATCCAGGATTTAAGTATTATGGGTTCAACTTTTAAAGATTTTAGCATTGAACATATTATATTTTTAAAGTTATGGGTTCATATCTACTATATTTGTGACTTTAGTGAATTTTTACATATAAATTTTTACTCTGCATCAAAAGTTATGGGTTCAATTGAACTCGTAGATAATGCATTGCATCCGCCCCTGATTACGTGGCTATAAGTTTTTTGAACTTTATGGCATTAAACATGCATTCCATACAATTTGAATCATAAAATATTACCATTAAGGATAAAATAAGAAGTTTAAATTTAATTATCCTCAAATTTAAAAAGGGGTCATTCTTTTTAAAACAAACTAAATAGATAATAAAATCACATAAATCAAAATAAATGAAGTAAATCTCTGTTTTAAAAGGCAGAATTGGGACTCGCCCGGGACTCGTCCTGGGGCGGAGCACTCGTAAAACGCCCCGGGGTTGGGGCTTAGTTCCGTGAGACTTACGCCTCGACCGTCGAGGCTTACGTCCCGGGCACGCCCAACACCCAACGTACTGGGTTCGCCTAATAGAACTAACCTCAAATTACTTTGTAACTAACCTTGTAAATCCTCAAATTTTCTTAATAAATCGTTGACTATTCAAAATTACTTTTTCTTAACAATAAATCAATAAGTTCAGAGTATTTTATGTCATAATTTAAAAAAAAATTATTGCATGTTATCCACTAAGACTGCTGTGATAGTAAATTTTAAATAAATCTTTCATTTAAAAGTATTTATTTATTAACTTTTGTTATGTCTGTATTATATTAGTCCATAATTCTTTTTATAATTATTTTCCTAAATTATATTTTTCACGTTTACGAGATACAATACTTATTAATTTAATAGCTCAGTATTAGCTAGTAACTATTTATAAATAATTAGTTATCATGATATAGTATGCTGAATTATGTGCCACTTTATTAACTTGTTGAAACTTAAAAATAATTGATGCTATAGAATCATATTTAAATTGTGAATTATATTTTTGTTAAATTCTCTTTCAAATAGAAAGCATATTAAATAAAAGGAGTATTTTAAAAAATATATCAAATTATAATACCGAAATTCTTTCAATATTCATTACTCCCTAAGAAATACATGTAAGATTTCGCATCGAATACATTACTTTTGATGTTTGAGTTGTAACGACGTTGCAGCTAATTTGCATATAATGATGTATCTCATACTTTTTGTATTATTCATAGTTGAATTATAATTTATAAATAGTTTAAATAGATTATTTTATAATTTTGTGATTTTAATGTAATTTTATAATTATTTTTATTTTATACTATTTTAAATTCTTGAAATTACTAAAATTTAAAGATCCGTGGAACTTACGCCCCATGTCTCAGGGCTTACGCCTCGCCTCGTCAGAGGTAAAACGCCTCGCCTCACGCTCTCGCCTTTTAAAGCATTTGAAGTAAATAACTTGTTGTAATTGATTAAATACATTACTGGTGTAAAAATTCTCAGACACAAGATATATAGTCATATAGATGTAGATATAGACGTTGTACCATTAATATTTCCACGTGTCTGGAGTTTTAAAATCTTAAAATTAAAGATGCTAGCTAAATACTCCTTCATTAATTCCCAGGTTATAATTTGACCATATTAGTCGATTTTCAAGCTAAATTGAACTAGATGCACATTTTTTAAAATGAAAATTAAATTTTAAAAGAATTACAAATATTAAACGGAATTCAGTTCATTTGATCATAAGAAGCCAAAAGCGATAATAATTTGAGACAGAAGAAGTAAATAGGCAATGTTAGTAAAGATAAAAGAGGGTCTTCTATATATTCTGTCGGGAATAGCCAGGTTTTTTCCACCTTGTCCTCTTTGATTCCCAATCATTTGGAGTTATGGACAGAGATATACAAATATACAACCATAAAATAAACTACACATTCTTTTGGTTCCTAAAAGCTTTATATGTAGATAATTTAATATTGAAATTTAAAACCAAGATATCGAACACTAATCAACGTTCGTATCCGTGTCGACCACTTTGGTTTTCCCAATTAGATATTGCTACCTAATTTTGTTCCCAATATTGAAGATTTGTACCTTACCATACTGGTATTCATATTTATACACTTTAAGGGGTCGTTTGGTTTGAATACGGCTTATGTCGGGATAAGTTATGCTATCCTGGTATTTTTTTTATCCACTGTTTGATATGTTGTATTAAAAATGAAAATTGCATAATTTCTAAAAAGAAGGTATAAGTTATCTCGACATTAATTACCCCACCCTCAAGGTATAAGTTATCCCGGTACTAATTTTAATCCCGGATAACTTATACCAGGTTTGCTAACCAAACAAAGTATTAAAGTTGTCGCGCCCCTTTTTCTCGCGAAATCGGGTTTCGATATTTCTGGGACAACTCTTTTCTGAGAGGGTAGGGAATTAGAATTGAAAGAGTCGCCACCTAACGGATTATGGTGTGTTAGGGCACCTGGAGCAGATAACTCATATAACCAGTTTACATCACCAGAGATCGGGTAAGGCTCGAAATTACCTTGAGGGGAATGTGTTAGGCACCCCTCGAGGTCCACAACGGTGGGTCCCGGCCGAACTTAAATTAAGCGAATTAGTCTAAAAGGGGTGAGGACAATTTGGACAAATACAATATTATATTAAACAGGGGTACAGGGGTGGTCCTAAGTTTTTTAGCCTATAGGATCATTCCATGCAATGCTTTGTAACTCCCTCAAGTCGGAGTGTTACTCATAGCATTAGCGCACGGGCTATCATCTCCTTACTACCCAATTACTATCTTTAAGTTGTTACCTAAGCGTTCTAGTAGTTTCTAGATCGTTCCTTATGCGTGCACTACCCGTCCTTACCTATGGCCCTGGAGGTATTAGGACCTCTATTTGGGATAGTTCTAGACCAACCTATATTGCTTAAAAATGTGAAATCTAGGCGACAAACAAAAATACGTAGGACTTTCAAATAAAGAATAAGTATGGGCTCACATTAACCTCCACACATAAACAACAAAAGGCGCACAATTGAATCAGCAAACTTTTTAATTTTGAAATCCTATAGGCAGGATATCTACGTGATAAAACAGAGTATAAAGGCAGTTTACTAAGGCGAGCATTGAGACCTATTTGACTACTGATTTTATTCAGCATGGATCTGGGCATTTCAAGCAGTAGTATGTCACAGTTTTAAACCCAGAATCATTAATAAGTCCTACAGATATATTGCCTAAGTGATTGAATTCAGAATCGATTAACAGAGTCCTATAGGCGTGATTTCTACGAGCTTATTAATTACAGACCTATAGGCATGGTTTCTAAGTGTAACACTGATTTTAACTTATAAAGACAAGTTTTATTCCTTTTCAAATCCTATAGGCATGCTTTCTAATTGCTGAGTTAATTCAAACCTTATAGGCATGATTTCTAAATTTGAAGTTGATCTTTAGTCCTATAGGCATGATATCTATTGAGTTAAACCCTTATAGGCATGATTTCTAGGTTTGAATGGAGTTAAATCCTATAGGCATGATATCTCTTAGTTGCATTTGGACAGAAATTAAACAGATTGCCAGGAAGGATAATTGACTTAAACAAACAAGGTCCTATAGGCATGGTCACTAATGCACATTTAGTTGAAAACATGTGTAGGTCCTATGAACAGGATTTCTAATGTACAGAATTAAACGTAAAGTCCTATAAGCAGAGTTTCTAGCATGCAAATGTGCAACATAGAATCAAAATGATCATGAAAAGTCCTATAGGCAGGATCTCTAAACACAGTATAGTATTCGCATAATTCAATCAGTATAATTAAATCCTATAGGCAGGATTTCTATCCAGTTTTAACAAAAGATATAAAAGAACCCCAACTTTTACTAATTAACCCCAAATCTGTTATTACAGAGATTATTACAGCTCAGAATATCGAATGAATTACATAATGGTAACAATTACACTATAGGGAGCCTTCATAAGCCCAACTAAACCTGGGAACCAGGCCTTCCAACATAACAGCTTTGGGGCATAGCAGTGATTCGTCGACAACATGTTAAAACCTGGCTTCCAATGTGTCAAAGTTTCCAAAGAGCCTCAGAGATCCCAGACAATACTCACACCAGAACCACACATTCAGCAAAGAGTTCATAAAAGATTAGAAAGCCAACCCCCAGTGTGTCAGAGTTCAAAGGAGTTTCAAGGACCCTAGTCAGTGCTCACACTGGTGTGGTTGAGAACCTAAGGGACTAAGAGTAGGGCTTTTGAAAATCAGTACATGAAAAGGAATAAAGGGCAGGTTTTAAGAAGATAGTTGGATTTTAGAAGAAACAGGATGCAGAACATATAATTACAGGCAGAACTGTACCAAGGAAACACACAAAATTCATGCTTAAACACATAGTTTCAAATAGGTTGAAGTCTAGTTGAGCTAAGTATTAATAGTGGTCAAACAGTCATGGCTTAGTCACAGAAGCAATTAGGCAGAAATATTTGAATTGAACAGACAGGACATATGAGTTAAGCAACAAACATATTTGATTACATGCTTATAGTGTCTTGCAAAGTTCAGAACATGTATAAAACTAACAAACAGATTGAACCTTAAACCAACTTATGAGAGAATTCCTGTTATTCTAAATAACTTAGTCTTAAGTTAACGGTATTCTCAATTTGCCAGATAAAGGACAGAATCATGCTAGGAATTGAAACAGGCTAGTCGAACAAAACATAGAGAAGGAAATTGCAAAGGTTAGGGCATACCAGTTGAGAAAAAAAAAACAAGTAAAGGTGCGGTAACAATTAAATTCCAGAGTAATTCGGCCTTGGCTTTCAG